GTAGCAAATTATTAAGTAGCTGCATTGGTTACTTTTATGCCACTGATAAAGCTTTTATATGTAGTTTGGGGTAATAAAGGGGTTTTATAGGTTTGACTGAAATAATAATGCAATAACTGACACTTTAAATCAATGTTTCAAGAAACAACAACAAAAAAATTACAAACAAAAAACAGATAAAGACAAAAAAGTAGCCATTGGTCATATCTAAACAATATGTAGTAGTATAGTATAATTTATACATTATGTGTAAATTATGTGCAATGTCTTAGCCACTAGGGATTGTTACATAGGGCTATACAGGCATCTAGTGGCAACACAATGATATTACAGATACTAAATTGTGCAAAATGTTTATCTTAACAGTCAATTTACAAATAATGCATTCAGATTTGTGGAACTCAATGCACTGAATCTCCACAAATTAGTGTTGTTACTATGACAACCAATTTGAATGTGACACGCAACTGGTGTCTGAAAAGAATTATATATACATATATATATATAATTTTTTTTTGGGGGGGGGGCAATAGGGATTTCGCCTAGGGCGTCAAATTGGCTAGAAACGGCCCTGGTTGCATGCATCAGTCCAAAAGAAGTTAAATAAAAAGTGCCCATCCATTAAAAAAAAGTGTCTCACACGGTTTTGGGGGGTGAACAAAGGAATCTATGTGTTTTTGTAAGAAAAATATCCATATTCAGAACGTAACAATCACTTTAATGTAGCTTGCGCCAACAGTTGTACACGGAAGCAGCTCCTGCGGATGACTTATGAGGTCATCCGCCCCCACCCCCGGAGCATTGTGAGACACTTTTTTTTATGGATGGGCGCTTTTTATTTAACTTCTTTTGGATGGATGCATGCAACACCCGCTGAGTGGCATTAAACAGCTTGAAAGATCAAAGACAATTTTTAATATAACTCCGACTGGATTCGTCTGAAAGAAGAAAGTCATATACACCTAGGATGACTTGAGGGTGAGTCATTTATGGGCTAATTTTTGGGTGAACTAACCCTTTAAATCAACCAAAGCAACTTATCCATGAGCAGTTAAGTAACGTGACAAGTGCTATAAAAGATATTACAGATAGTTCAGAGAAATAAAAAAAAAAACAGTTAAAGAATAGTTTGAGGTTTTTATTTTATTTTTATGTATGTATTTATTGTCTGATGGATTCAGTAAAGCGCTCACAGAAGAAATCTGTCTTAAAAGTTGTAAGGGGCTTGGCTGTTTGGGATTATCATGGTTCAAAATGATATATTTTTACTTAATTGTACTGTACTGTAATTATTTACCACAACATTGTCATAGCATATCTTAATTAAAAATGATGTTCCATCAGAATGTTCTGTTTTAGTTGTTATTCACAAACTTTTTTATCCGTTTTAAGGATTGTTTTCCTTTTTGTAATATTTCTTCGCTGTGCTTTAGAGAAAACATGGCCTGCAGGCTTGAAGAGTTCGTGTTGTTCTGTCAGACTAACACTAGGAGGAGCAGTTCTCCTCTGCGCCTCAGTACGCATGCGCAGACTTCATTCCAACCCCGCTAGAGTCGAGTCAGAGGAGGGCAACGCCAACCAGTTAGCAAGCATAGCTACTAGCAATGGCTTTTCATAACAACACCTTTACTCTTCACTGCTGTCATCTGAGCACCATCCACGAGTGTTTCTGCACATGAGGACCTAACCGCCGACAATCAATCCAGCAGACTTACTTTGTAACAGCGAGCGCTTTTTTAGCCAGTATGCGATGGGGACAGACAGCTGTGGATTTCTACACGAATCTTTGCAGGCGGCTGCTGCTGAAGCAGAGGATGCTGCTAGGCTAGCGAGCTAGGCCTTTACATCCCACAGGAACCCTTCAGTACTGCGCCAGGAAGCAACTTGCAATCAAAATAGGAACAATTTTTGTACTTAAATGAGAGTTTGAGCGATTCGTCAGCTCTCGTTTAGCACCAGACATCTGGCGAGCTGTGTGCTTTTGTTTGTTGATAGCTGCTAGCTGCTAGCTAGCCGAACATCGAGCAGCCAATCCGCTATCTTGTTAGATTATCGACCCGTTTAATATTTCCAGAACGGCTTAAAGACAGCAGGTTATCCCGACTGGGTTTGGAGAAGGTGAGAACTGCTGTCGGATTGTGTGTTCATGCCACATTTGAGGAGCGTGAATGTGGAACAAAATGGAGACCCCGAAGATTCTGTACGATTTGGACACGTCTGGGGGCCTAATGGAGGTAAGGCTGTCTGCCCTTCAGCTGTGCCTCGAATCACTGTCATGTGTGAGTTAAATATGCCTGTATTAAGGATTAAATGAGTCGTAATAAAAGCAAATTGCAAAATGGAAAATAAGTTGTTTGTGGACATTTGCTTTGGTGAGTTAATGCAGTGCTGGGTTGGGCCTGTTGCAGAAATTGAATGCCTGGAAAGTAGAACCGAAGACAAATTTATGTATGTATATATGTGTGTGTGCAGATTTCATTATTGATATCACGTGATTAGATCTGATTTGACATGGGGGAAAGTTTGACCTCCTCATAGTTGAATGTGAGCACCCCCGGGTGCTGCACGTTTTGGGGGTCTCTGTCACCCTTAATTTTAATCCAAAATCTGCATTGTGTGTATGTGTCAGATTATAAGTATGATATTCAAAATGTGCCGTGATAAGGTTGGAAATACCAGTTGAATAT